TAACATGAATTAAAAAAAGTACACAAGATAAATAAATAAAAGAACATGAAATACATGAAAGAAAAAAAAACAATACACGTAATACTAATTTGAATTTTGATTTTTCCAAAGATGCTATATTCAATCCGCTCTAATATTGTGCATTTCTCTACTACAGAATTGAGCGCGTCTTGCGATTCATTCATCTTCGGGTACCTCTTCAATGTTGTCATCGTCCAACTCGTAGCCTGCACAGATAGCTAACCCCCTATCTTCTAAGATCATATTATGTAAAATCGTATTTTATGTCACTTTCACCTCGATGTTAATATTTTTGAGTTTTTTAAATTTATTTAATTTAAGGATTGGTCTAGAAGTTAAAAATAAAACTTAAAAGTACTACAAAACAAGACGTAACAAAAATATTTATTTTATCACATAATCAACCAAAGCACATAAATAAACAAAAGTTTGTGTGACTTTTTGTTAGAATAAGTGACCAACGCTAGAGGGGGGGTGAATAGCGTTTGATCGTAGAAATCGCAGGAATAAAAAAACTTAAAAGAGAGGTAAAGAGAAGAGTAAGAGGCACACTGAATTTTACCCTGGTTCACCACAACTTGTGGCTAATCCAGCCTCCCGAGAGACTCTCTCGAGCTACACTACTTCCGTTAAGCTTACGGGTGCTTAACAAACCGTTACAACCTGAGAACTCGAGTCCCACGAGCCTCAACAACACTCTCTCGGAGATACCGCACTCCAAGACTTCAACCCGAAGGAAAATACCTTTCCTTCGTACAACCAAGGGAAACAAGCTTCCCTTAACGTGTATACAACACTAAGACACTCAAGAACAAGACTCTCTTTTAGAGTAGATGTTGAGTAAACTATATACGCTCAAGAACAACTCAAACTTCACAAATTGGCTCTAGAAAGCTATGGAAAATAATGTTGTTTGGATGCAATGATAATATGAATAAAGTGAAGTGAATTGATAAGAAAAGCAGACCCAAACACCCCTTTTTATAGTGCCAAAATAGGCTCCAACGGACCAATGCATTAAAGGGGTGATTGGCTTGATTTAAGGGATTGAACAAATTTGGGATCTGCAGGATATTGGCTTCCCATCGATGTTTGGAACTTACCCATCGCTGGTAAGCCAATTTTCCTTCAGTTTTGAAGCCAACGATTACCTACCCATCGATGGGTACAAGCTTCCCATCGCTGGGTGGGAGGTTGACTTCCAAACAAGGAAAGAATCAACCTTAAATGACTTCCAACGGTCATGCCTTCCCATCGATGGTTAAGCCTTCCCATCGCTGGGTTCCCATCGATGGGTAAAGCTTCCCATCGCTGGGTAAGGGCATTCTGCCTTGTGATAAT